TTCCCTCCTCTCTCTCTCTCTCTCTCTCTCTCTCTCTCTCTCTCTCCCCACCCACTTCTTTCTCTTATTTGTGAACTTTATATAATTTGTATGTGTTTTAGAAATTTCTTCTGGCAAATCTGGCCCATTCCTAGTTCTAGGATGGAACTGTACTGGGAACCGACCAATTCCAATACAAATCGGGCTATTCCAATCTGGATCAGTGGTTTTTAATTAATGCTATGGATGATAGTCTGAGCCATAGTCGTTGGGATTGGGAGCAGGGAATTGCGAAAGGCTAGAAGAGCCCAATGGTTGAGAGCCCCGTCTGTACAATGCAGATATCAAGGATCCCCAAATGCTAGGGATCGATCACAAGTCTCAACCTTTTGGGGATGTTGCTCCTAACCTTAAATATTATATATCGTTTAGGATTATATATATGCTCTTTAAAGTAGGGATCTCTTTATTTATCGCCAACAAGCAATACAACTATATAAAAGTATAGTTGCATTGCTAGCTTCCTATAAATAAAGATAATCATCCATTTGGTCGTTATCTTGGTCTCTAAGGTTGGGAACGAGCTCCCTAACATTGGGGATCGAGATCCCAAAATTTAAAATCAAGATTCCTTGAAAATTCCTTGCCTAGAGCTCTAGAGCGGAATCGCCACTTGGGTGATCCCAGCAATGATGGTCTCAGCAAATGCATGGCTAGTACCCATTCCTTTCTTAAATTTATGGAGACCAATTGTGTAAACCTGGATTTGTCGGTGGGTATTCATCTGCAAAATAATTCCATTTGTGGTGCGATGCACCTTTTTTTAAGAGAATGCTTCCAGTTAGGATTTCTGTTCTTATTCATCACTAAGAACTACATCAGACTTTTTGATATTGTTAGTTCCTTGACTCAAGCATACTGACTAGTGACAAGAAATCATAGCTTTGCTTTTCTGTGTGAGGTCAAAAAAAGGTTATTTATATGAGCGATAGTATTTTTATCTGGAGCAACCATAAAAACAAGCATTATTATCCGGATATAATTCTGTGCTCTGTTCTATCTTGGATATATTTCTCTAAGTTTTAACTCTTTCATCTCTTGGTTGCTTTTAGATTCAACTTCTTGGATACCATTTAGATTTATCATATCGTGACCTTTCCCATTTAACTTTGGGATTCTGTAAAGGTGATATGTTTTAGTTATATAAAAATGGGTCAACCAATAACCAGCCTTGAGTTCATCTGTTTATGATATTAAGAGGAGCTATTTAATTTTCGTTTATTTTGGGGAAAGAAATGGAGTTGGTAAGCAAGCACAGGCTCACCAATCAATTTACCTGTTATCTCACTTTCACAGAGGCAATTATCTAACTCGGTAACTCCTTTTGTTTTCTTCCATTTTTCCAGAACATCCATGGTTAACAAATGCAAAGAAAGCTCCAAATATTCCTCTTGGTGATATTGTGAGGTCAAGGCTTAAACAGTTCTCTGTGATGAATAGATTCAAAAAGAAAGCTTTAGGGGTTAGTGTCTCTGTCACTTAAAAAGTTGTTTCTATATGTGAAAGTTTTGTATTTATCTGTGAATTTGGTACCTTCTGCATGTCTGATTCGTTTGAGCATTTGTAACAGGTGATCGCAGAACACTTGTCAGTTGAGGAAGTTGAAATTATCAGAGACATGTTTAAGCTGATGGACACTGACAATAATGGAAAAGTGACCTTTGAGGAACTGAAGGCTGGCCTTAAGAAAGTTGGCTCCCAATTAGCTGAGTCAGAGATGAAGCTGTTAATGGAAGCAGTGAGTGAAACAATTTTTTATGCTGTCTTATTTATCACATGTGGCAGGGATCTCCAATTAAATAAACTTCTGATTTCAATATTTAGGCCAAACTGTTTATTTCTACATATTTAGTGGGAAGTGATAACCTGTTCCACCAGATGCACCAAACTTGGTGGTTTGTGTATCTTAAAAACTACTTTGGAGGCACGGAGGCACCTAATAGAATTCCAAACTTCTTACAAAAAAGTCTCCTCTATATTTTGATTCAGTTTGTAGCACGAAAAACATTCAAGTCTCTTTGATCTCTCTCCATTGAATGGATAGTCCAGATTTGGTTATAGGATTACGGTGGATTTGGAACAAATTGTGGTGCTCCAAGTCCATTTTATTTTTCATGAAATTGTTTTTGGGGGGTGAGAGAATGATTTCCAAATTTTAAGGTCCCTCCCACACCACAAAAGTAGTTTTTGAGGTGGTGGAGCTCCAAGTTTGGTACGCCGAGTAGAGCATGCTGGTATTGATCTTGCATATGACTATTTCTGAATGACTCAAAGGAGGGTGATGCCATGGACTTTATATATATATATATATATAGAAAAAAGCTGGGGTTAGCCTACTAGCTCATATGAACATATGAGCCCAACGACCCTGATTGAATTTGGGCTGATCTGACAATCACGGATATCCGGTAGTATTTGAATTTTATTTATTTTTCTACAAATCCAAATCACTTGAAATTTTAAGTGTGTTT